CTCTCCCCCCCTTTCCTCTCCCTCTCCCTGTCCCTCTCTCTCTCTCTCTCTCTCTCTCTCTCTCTCTCTCTCTCCCCCTCTCCCTCTCCCCCCCTTTCCTCTCCCTCTCCCTGTCCCACTCCCCCTCTCTTTCTCCAGCTGTATCCATATCTCTCCTCTCTGTTTTCACTCAACACTTTCTCAGATTTCTGTGAGAAGCTGACAAGTTGTAGGATTAGGGAGAATCGGTGGCACCTAGTTCAGCACCATGGACAGAACCCTTTGTAGTCACAGTCATTGGGTGATGAAGGCTGAAGGCTTCCAGCCCCAGGCTGCTTAGCTGGCCTCCCTCACCCCAAGGTGAAATCTCAAGCTGTCTCAGACCTGAACTGGTTTCAGATGCGGGTATTTGTAGAGCAAGAGCCCTTTGGGCAAGGTTCCCAAGGTAACACTGCCCCATATTCTCTGTGTCCCAAGTGTTCACATACACCGAGGGACTTTGCCTCTCTACTGAGCTGTCCTAGCTATTGAGACATCTTGAAGTCAGATTGTAGGCACTCTAAAGAACCATCTTAAAGAGACAATCAGAACAGTAGACTTTTAAGCAGAACCAAGCACTCCAGACAAAACATTGGGTGTTCTCTGAATTGGACCAAATGGTGAGTCACCCCATTTGCAAAGAGAGAACAGAGGAGTCTCCAGAGGTTTCCCTCACAGTTGTGGGGGTGGGGAAGGGGGGAGGGGAGGAGGTCCCAGGGAAGGACCTCCCTCCTGGCTCATTGGAGGGTGACTGGTGCCTGGGTGAGGTCTCAGGCTAGGACCCTCTCTCCCCAACAGTCCTTCTTCCACACTGTGCTGGAGAACAGCCCCCACTGTGACACCATGGTGGACAACAACCTGCGGGTCACCAACTGGAACCGCAAGCTGGGCTGCAAGTGCCAATACAAGCACATCGTGGACTGGTGCGGCTGCTCCCCCAACGACTTCAAGCCGCAGGACTTCCATCGCTTCCAGGTGAGCCTGCTGGGCCCCCCCAGCCCCAAGCCGCCTGCCAGCCGACCTCTGCCAGCGCCCAAGGCCAGGCTTGTGGGTCCTCTGATTCCGCAGTTCCCAGCCCTGCTATTGATGACAGTGAGTGAGCACGTCACGGCAGCAGGGTGCGCTGACCACCGACGCCACGCCAGGGCGCTCTGGCCACTCTGCCGCAGTGGGCTCATTAGCCCACAATGGCCTTAAGGGACGTATGTATGTGAGATACATGTAAATGTAATTTCATTATTATATAGTATTCATATGTAGCGTATTACAGTGATTATAATGTTACTAATACATTTTTCACTCAGCAGTGGGGAAGCTGAGATGGAGAAAGGGCAGCAACTTCATGCAAGGCTCGCACAGCTCAGCCGTGCTCGTGAACATTTCTCTGTGCTGCTCGGTCCATCAGAACTCTCTGAAATACTTGTTCAGAACATATTTCTGGGCACAAACTCAAGTATGTCTAAGTTAGTTTTTCCAGCTCAGCGCCCTAAGCCTGGTGTCTGGGTGGCTCTTGCGAGGGCCCTGCTGCCCTGTGTTTGCGGAGGGTGTAGACAGCCCTGGCCTCTAGCCCCTAGATCCTCATGACAACCGAAGGTGTCCTCAGACATCACCAAATGTCCACTGGGGATAAACTCCATCACGGGAGGAGCTCATGACCTCCTGGAAGGCCCAGCAACTTGATGCTTAGTGTATGAGTACACTTTGGGGAATTGGGCTTGGAAACCGCCACCCTCTGCACTTACCAGAGTATTAAGAGGCAGAAGTGTCACTGCCGCCATGAGCGCCTGCCTGGCCTGACCACTTTCAGTCCAGGGGAGACAGAGGCAGAGTTGAGGGGTGCTCTGTCTGCTTCCCCCACCTCCCCTCCCCAACCCCGGCTGACAACTTCTTCATCCTGCCTGATTATTCCTGCTCCCTCCAAACCAGCCCCCAGGCTCGATCCTTGGCCACATGCAGGCCTGAGCTGCCAGAGCACAGATACTAGAACACAATTAAGCAAGTCGCCCAGGGGCAGTAGAGGCACCCTATAGGGATGGGCAGGGACAGTAGCGCTGGCGGGTCCCCTGGCTCTGGCTGCTCACCTTGGCACAGAACTGAAACCCCCGGGGGAGGCCATGGCTGCTCAGCATTGCCATGAGCCCACCAGAAGTGCAGAATCTCCACAGCGCCCCTTCTGCCGAGTCTGTTCACACATTAACAAGATCCCAGGCCCCAGGGAGGCTATTTGTGTTTGAAAAGCACAGGGGTAGCTGCCTGGAGGCATTCGCTTCATCCCCATTGCACGGGTGAGGAAACTGAGGTACCAGTGGTGCATGCACAGGTGTTTCCAGCTCCGGGCTTTCTCCACCAGACCCACTGCCACCCTGGTCTCCTGCCCACATGGGTCTTAGCCTCCACAAGCGGTTGCTGCAATAGGAATGCTTTTAGGCTTGGGTGGTGGCACATGGAAAACGCCCCACGGAAACCTCAGCCCCATGTACATTTAGGCATGACCCTGACATTTTAGCTCCATTGTCCGTGCAGAAAGGATTTGCTGAGCAGAAAGAGGGTTGCAGGAGGGCTGTTCGACCTATTCAAAAGGAAAAAATAAATTCCCACTTGGGTAGAAGATCAGCCTCTCGCCATTGTCTCCATGGTGCTTCATATTCAGGACAAGTTAGTGGCCACAGTCCTGAGAGCACCGCCCCTCTGCAGCCGCTGCTGGTGGCCGTGTTTGTGTTCCCACCCGGCATTCTGGGATGGCGTGGTCTCCGCTCAAGATGGGAGAACAGGGAACTGGCATGTGCTCACAGCTCTTTCCCCACAGTAAACAAAAATCAAGAATCTCCCCCAACGTGTAGAATCAAGAAACGGATGTCTGTAAGGAACTCGGAGTTCTTGTTCAAAGAACTCAGAGGAAGAGATGATAAAAATAGAAATGTGCCCTTTTAGCAGATCCAGCTATGATCAAAGAATCGCAGGCAGAAAAAAGTGGCTTAGGCGCCCCCACCAGCAGGCCACGGCGGCAGTGACAGTGGCCACTAGTGATCGCGGCTCACACTGTGTAGACACAGCACTGGACTCCTGGTTACTGGACCCATTTTAGGAATATTTTAGGGATGAGGAAGCTGAGGCCCTGAGTGACTTGCCCAAGGACAGAATACGGCAGCCGAGTGAAGACCTGAACCCAGCTGGTCTGGCTCTTTCCGGTGCTACTGCAGGAAACTGTCGTGACCCCTTTACCACATACAGGGGGCCCCAGGGCTTGCCAAGGCAAAGAGGTGATAGGGTGTTCAGAGCGATGCCGGGGGGTTTTGTCGCCGGGGCCAACTTACTCCTTTAGCATTTGATCTTGGGTTTTAGGGTCATCAGATCTGGGTTCAGCTGGCACAATGGAACTTACGCATATCACCTCCCCTCTCTGAACTGTTTCCTCATCTGCAGGGTGGTACCTACTTTGTAGACTGCTTTGCAATGTGGTGCCTGCTTTGCAGAGATGTTGGGATCTGAACTAATGACAGAAACACGATGCTTGTGGCTAGTATCTGCTCAGAAGCTTTACTGTCATTATTGTCGCCCTTAATCCCCGGCAGTGGAAATAGCACCTACATTAAGTGACCCAAAAGATGTGGGACTGGCTAGGGGTCATGGCTGATGCGAAGCTGCTCTGTGAGGTCATTTTATCAACGACTTACTCATCAAACTGCATTTCTTAGTCCACCCTGGACTTAAAAGTTTTTTATTATGCATTCTAGCAAATGTACTGTTATGGCAGTGGAAAGACTTTATGTGGTTTTTACATCTTATAATATTTAGGGTTAGGGTTAAGCACTGAAGAGATGCAAATTAAAGTCAGTAATCACTGTGATCAGAGCAGAGGGAACTGTGTTTTATTTGTTTTCAGAGCCCTAAGCCAGGGACCGAACTCCAGCCCCCAGGCCAAATGCAGCCCACTGCAGCTTGTAAATAGTGTTTACCAGAACGCAGCCACGCCCATTTGCCTCCTGCTCTACCACTGCTTTCTCGCTAGCAACTGGAGAAGTTGCAAAGCTAGAAATATTTATCTCACCCTTTACTGAAAGCTTGCTGGTCTTTGCCCCAGACCGTAGTGTAAGACCGAGCAGATAACACGTATTTAGTATTTTATTCTTTAATCCGCAACTCTCCATCTTACCAACCTCTGTCATTGATAAGCGCCTCTCCCTCCCTGGGCTCAGTTTGCTTGCCATGATTTGTGTGAGTGGTTCTCAAATACTGCATGATGACCACGTTGAAGTTTTTTGGGTAAAGATTCCCCCAACTTCTCCACAGAGACTGGCTCAGTCATTCGCCATGAGCCCACCAGAAGTGCAGAAGCTCCACAGCGCCCCTTCTGCCGAGTCTGTTCACACA